GAAAGGCAGATCATGTCTCTTTTCTCCCTGTTCCCAACTACCTTCGAGTCAGGAATCCCTGATCAGAACCATAATGAACTGCAAGATCACCACACAATTACTCCAGTCAGCATGCAACCGAGCAAACAAAATAAATTTGAAATAGTTCAGTATCACAGCATTTATTGAGTGACTGTAACCTGGCAAACTAATGAAATACCAGGGTATTCTACATTAAATGTGCCACGGTTTGGGTTTTTGGGGGGCCGTGCATGTTTGTTTTTAAAGTTACTAAGGGCAGGAAAATTTAAAACTGCACTACTAAACCATGTTACTGCAGTAAGGAAAACTAGAGAAAACTGCTGCTTAGATGTAAACTAAGGATGGGAGGGAAAAACAAACAAACAAACAAAAAAAAAACACCAAAACCCCCAAATACATTCCCAATGTCTTTGGCTTTTTTTTCCTCTGGGACACTGACAGTGTCAGAAAGGTGGCAGACAGCCCATCAGACCCTTGGTTGTCTCACCCAGGCTGCAAAAGCCCTGGGCTGCAGTTTATGCAAAGTTGTTACAGCTTACCTAGAAGGGAGACATGCACACACCTCAGAGGTGGGCTGAGGAAGCTTCTGTAATTCATATTTCTAAGGTCCACATCCCTTAACTCCATTTGCTGCACGTCAAAACACTCATTCATTCTCCATCACTGCTTTCTTCAATTGTGTTAAAACTGCCTCTGGCCACATTAATTACCAGGGTATTTATATTCTTGATTTACATGCCCAAATGTGTACATGAAGGCTCAGATGCTGAATGCAAGCAGTGAGACAACCAAGGCAGAGGAGACAGCATGCACTAGCAGCAGGAGGCCAAAATAAAAATGACTTCTGAGAACCTTTGTAGAAAGGTATTTTTGGAGCTATTTTTGGAGCCCAAGATTCCTACAGCTTTTGAAGAATTCAAAGTATGACTGCAAATAATTCACTCAGACTGCAGCAGTGCAAAGAAACCAATGGCTAATGAGCAACCCCAAAAACCTGAGGTGGGAGGTTGTCCCCCTGCATTCACCATCGTGGCTCTGCAGTGGTTAAAAGGTCCCCACAGCTGTGCTGGCAGCATCGATTTGGGTGAACAAGGAAGCGACAGAAAAATAAAGCCACCTTAATTTCAAGCTCCATTAGAACTGAAGGACTCAGGGGCGGGGGGGAGAAATCAATGTTTGGCAAATGGGAAAGGACAAAATCTGCAAAAGGAAAAATGCATTTTCAGGCTAAGCTAATGCAAACAATGGATGGTGAACAGCACTTGAGGCTGTCCCTTTAAGGTTGTGTCAGCATTTCCATTTATAAACTCTAATTTTAGTTACCCTCTAGTAGATTATCACAGGCTTTGGTATTATTCTAGCAGATAGCACAAAGTATATCACAAATGGTAGTACAGAACAGCAGTAAGAGCTAGATTGTTGAATAACACACCCTTTCAGTACCTGATGTAATGTAAAAACTCTACCAAGTCATATGCTTCCATACACACAAACAGAACACCGTGCTGGGGCAAGCATCCCGGCACCCAATTCTACCAGCACTAAAGCACAAGTCAAAGCTACCTTTGATGCAGAACCTGTTCACGGTATTTTGAAAAGCTTGAAAATATCCCAGATACTTAATTTCAGTCTGCCTCCACTGCCACTTGGATGGATTTCAGTCTAACCCTCTGCCCTCATTTAGATAAAAGCTCTTATTTCTGTATCTGGATCTCCAGAGAGTTACTCAGTCAATACTCTGAACATCCACACCCAGAAATCAAAACCAAACCCTACCATGCAGCCTTTCCTTTCATTTCTGCCAAGATCAGAAGGTCAAGGTGAAAGTGTTGTACAAATGAGATAATTCAACAAAATTTTCCTTCAGTAATGGAGCCAGGCCTTCACCTCAAACTTCCTAACAGATCAGCAGTGCAGGCCAGGAGAGCTCCTGTCCACTTCTAGCATTCATTTCTCAAATCTGCACAGAGCTGGACCCAGCTAGAAGAGAGAGAGCAAAGCCTTTCTTACACTTACCAACAAAAAGACCCAAGCACGTAAATAGTGCCAAATATGACACAAGAATCACTTGAGTAGCACACATTCAGTTTTGAAACGGTTTGTTTTTCAAAATGGGGCATTTTGGCAATACAGAAAAATCTCTGTATAAATTCTTGACACAAGAATTATTATAAATAAACCGAATTTACCGCAAGAAGTGTTTGTTTGCAATTTAAGAACACAAGCTTTGAAATGAGAGAGGAAAAATACAAATTCCTATAATTCAATGGCAAGCCCAGAATCTTTTACATAATCTTCCCGGCCTACTGCTCTAGTGGGAGACATTTCCTGGACTCACAACCCTTTTATGTGCAAGCAATCTACATTTTACAACTGATAAATAATTCAGATAATTAATTGAGCTGCAATTTGGTGCACTTTTTAGTCAGCACTATAGTGTACCATTTAAAGAGGTTCTGTACAGAAAGTCCCTCCTGCTTGTTAACCCAAGCTGAGACTTCTATTAAGGTGAGTCCCTAAATTCTCTTAACACTTTCTGAATGTTTTGCATCAGCATGCTGGGACTTCATGCCTTAGGATGCTCCCCTCCACATATAATAGAATAATTAAAGACTCTACAAAAGTGTCAGACAGGATTTAAGGCTAAATAAATTTGCTGCAAACCACACAGAGTTGCGAGTACGTGTATTGAGCACGAGGAAAAGACAGGACTGAGAATGGAGAGCTGAGCCTACAACACTGATGGTGAAGTGTGAACCATGTTCATTAAGGATTCATGAAGAGGTTTTTGCTGGTTAAAAAGTGTAATGGTTATACTAGAAAGCACAGGCTGAGGATTTGATGCAGAACAGAACAGCCTTCCTCAGACAGCAGAGGATGATCTGCAAGACAACAGCAGAATCACTGCACCTGTGAACTGCAGAAACGAGCAGGGACAAAACATTCAGAACTCACACTTTACTCATGTGCCTGCAAGGTGATCTAAAAGGGAGCCCTTGCCATGCTTCCCACTGCACCTCGCTCTGAGCTGATTGACTATGAGTGTTCTCTGCACGTGGCCTGCAAAAGAAATTTACCATTCCAAGCACATGAATATGAGGCCTAAGAGATGAGTCGTTACAGTGATCACTGATTAAACCACCAGTGTTAATCACGATTCAAAAGAGCAAACAGGGAACTTTGATTTAAATGATTGATTTTAATCCTGTTTCTCATTTGTTCTTTTAAGCTGTTTTCCTAAAGAAAGGGCTGAATCTCATTGGTTGATTTGGCCACTTTAGCACATTGATTTACAATTAACCAGTGGTTTTTATGTTAAACTTGAAGCTTTTCCTGAACAGGAGGATACACTCAAATATTGACAAGGGTGATTAAAAAAATATACTGGAGGAAACATTCTGAGATCACCATGAGAATATACCAGAATCACGGTAACAAATTAGCTCTTGAGATCTGCTATAATTAAGAAAGAAGAAAACCTTCACATTTTAGTTAGGTAACCAGTAAAAACATAAAATGTGATTATCATGCAGTCCTGTCTGTTTTCTTACACGCCCCAAATCTCAGATCAAAAGAGCAAGCACTCCACTCCACTGCTTCTGGGCTTGAGAATCCACAAAAAGATTCTTCTCAAAGCAGAAAGGAAAAACACCAAAAATTAAAGAAGAATTAGCAACAACAGTAGTAAATCCTAAAAAAGAAAAAAAAAAGAAAAAGGAGGTAAGAGTTCTTGAAAAAAAATCTAGACAGAATGAGGCCAAGGAAGACATGCACAAAGTTTAACACCACCAATTAGAAATACAACAACATCAGAAGTTGGAACAAAGGAATAAAATGAGGAAAGACAGAAAGTGAACAATGCCAGTGGTTTAGAGCTCTCACTCTATGATCAGGCAATAGATAAAGCCTCCAGAGCACAATAATTTTTGGTGAAAGCAAGCCTTAGAGAACTGGGATTAAATAGGCCTGCCTGAAGACAGGAGACCACAGGGCTCCTAATACTGGAATGAGATGAAACTAAGGGCCCATTCACCCAAAACGGACGGCACCAAACGCTAAAATAAAACACACATTAGATAAAATGGGGTAATTTCACATGCATCCCTTCCCCTCCTGAAGTTAAGCAGCTTAGAGCACACTACTTCTGAAAAAAAAAAAAAAAAAGAAAAAAAAAAGGAGCTTACAACTCTTTTGACCCTCCTAATTTAGCCATCTGCCAGTAAGGAGAGAAGATAAACTTCAAAATGATTAACCAGTAATTCAGACTGCTACCTTCAATGCAACCCACAACATCGATTCCATTACCAGCTCTTAACTGAGTAATGAATACTGCAGATTTCATCATGAAGATGCTCTGCAAGGGCAGGCAACCATCAGAAGGGAAAATAGATGGTTCACATGAATTTTTAAGACACTCAGGGAGACAATCCCCAGGAAAATTTACAAGATTAAATCACCTGGAAAAGCATATGAAACATGGCAAATTCAGTCTACCACCAAGACAAGGTTATGACATCTGAGACACAGTGAAAGAAAAAAGCTGCACTCACCTCTTTTGCTTGTTGACTTAAATGTCCCCTATTCCAACACCTCAAAATTGCCAAGTGGTTCCACATGTGATTTTCCAATCAGACATTAAAATAGGTCTCAAATCTATGAGGGAGAGGTATCCCTGGGCAATTTAGGCTTGCAAAGCCAACCAAGACAGGTCCACAAAGAAAGCAAGTATGTACCTAGTTCCTCTTGACTTCAGCAAGAATTTGCATCTTAAAATGTATGTCTGCTGATCTTGGTACTTAATGCTGCTTCTGACAGCTAACTCAAACATCTTCCATCACTGAAAGCAGCATCTCTCCTCTGCATTTCCTCTAGCCAGTGAATTAAACAGAGAGCAAGAATGTCTCCACAGAGGCCCAAGAACAGGTTTGAATCACAACACTAGAATGGCAGTGTAATTCCCGTGTCACAAATGTCCCTACCTGGATGTCAGTGTCCTTCACAGGCTCGAGGGGCTCAAACGTGGTGACTGCACTCAGGCTCTCAAGTCGCTGAGAAATGTGGGGTATGTCAAGCCCTTTAGACCCCAGAAGAACAGACCTGTAAGGAAGAAATTGTACAGATTTGAGAATAGTACTGAACAGACAGAACTCTAAACCCAGGCTCATTGCCAATATTTAGGTCAGCAGCGAGCCACGTACAGACAGTGCTCCCACAGCCGTGTTATAAAAACTGCACAAAACCAAGCTCAGAACAGCCCTGTGTGCCTATCCAACCACCTCAGCCCTGCTGAACTCTTTCTGCTGTTCCACTGCAGTGCTGCACAGCTGCCAAGTCCTTCCCAGACAGAAAAAAACGTACACCATGTTGGTAAACACCTTCAGCGGCAGCCAGAACAGGGTACTGCACTTTTTGGGCTTCAGTGCCCGAAATCAAGAACAGCAGCTACTCAAATAAATCCTTGAATTACTCCATTGCTTTTTTGAAATATGGGAAGGGTGGGAGGGGGGGAAGAAAAAACAAACAACAAAACAAACAACCCAGACTAACTAAATACCAGCTTCGCTGGTATTTAGTTAGTCTGGGTTGTTTGTTTTGTTGTTTTTCTCCAAGGCCCTCCTCGCAGGACTCCCCCCCACCTCAGAAAGCAAGCCCTGTGAACAGAGAGCCTCCCCCAGCGTGTGGGTGTGCAGTGCCACTCACGCCTTGACGTTGGCGGTCTCCTGCGAGGTGCGGGTCAGCGCGCGGGAGCGCAGCCGCTCCCCGGCCTGCTGGAGCTCCGGCAGGTTCCGCTCCACGTGAGGCAGCTCCGAGATCCCCTCTGTCTCGGCTGCCAGCTGCTCTGCCTGCTGCAGCAGCTCCCCAAAGCCGTCCGTGTCCATCTCCGCGGCGGGGTTTCGCTCGAGACGCGCTTCGGAGAAAGAGAGAAAATTCTTGGATCGGATGTAAATCGTTCCCATGCTTGTGGGGGCCACACACAGACCAGGTCTTCTAGAACAGGATACTCTGCCCATCCTCCCCAAGCATTAAACATCAAGGGAAGTGCTTTCAGGTGGTCTCAGAGAGCTTTCCCTTGCAGGACTGCAACTTATGGGCCTGTCAGAAGTGGGATGCAGACGCCATATGACCGTTCATACACTGCCTCAATACAAGGAGGGTGAAAGCAGAGAAGTCCCATGGAGAATTTAGGGTTAATTTAGCTATAAACTACTTGCACACACACATAAATAAATAGCTTAGAGAACTGGACTCCCTGATCCTTATGGGTCCCTTCCCATTCTATCACTCTGTATTTTTATATATTATAAAATAAACAGATGCATACATATGCATGATAGGAATATAGGAGGGCTGAAAACACACACAAACATGAGGTTAAGAGCTACAGATGCACATAGACAGCCATAACTAGCTATTAAAATGTGTTATTCCCTATGTCATTAACCCCTAGTCAAAAGTACACGTTGTTCCAGTGCAGAAGACCTGTGTCTAATTTCAATGCCTGCAGAAAGTATCACCAGTGTGAGAATTCCTTGCACAGACCCAATGAGAGAAGAGTTCAATAAACCAGAGAGCATAAGGCAAGGGCTGCAGCAGACAAGGGCATTAATGCACTGTGCAGTTCTGAGCTCAGAATGGAGCTGCTATTGCTACGGAAGGACACGGGTGGATGTGCTCAGGATCACCGTGCAGAAAGACGTGGCTGCAACTTGTGGCCAGATTAATGAAATGTGGAACCCACACCCCCAACTTCAAATCATGACTTGCAGCTAAAACAGCTACGTGAGAGGAGCACTGGGCACCTCTGTAAAGCCACTGAAGATCACGGACATCTGTGGTGCTGGAGATGGAAATCTCCAGTACAGTCTCTCTCTCGTAGCATGTGCACCCAAAACCAGAGGGCCTGGGATGAAATGAGACGAATCAGATCTCAAGCATTAACTCCAGCTCTTTATCATTTACTCCAAAGTAAAATCAGTGGAGACCATCTGGTTCAAGGGAGCCCACCGAGAAGAAAACAGGCATTTTTACCAACCGACCGGAGCCTGCAATTCAAGTATTTCTTGGTACCCCCCCACCACACCAAAGCAATTTCACAGTACAGTCTGAACATTGCTCACGTTCTCAGTCTCGCCACCATTCCCAAGCACAGCCACCAGCAGCAGAGCTTTCCTCTGCCTGGACAAATGATTTAAAAGCACTGCATGATGATTCATTCAGACATATGCAGTTGGAGAGAGAAAGCGATCCCTCCCGCCCGGGTGCCAGGACAAACCCTCCCAGCCGGCATCCAGGAATGGAGAATTTCACAAGCGCTCCCCACACGCTTCTGGGAAGCTGGGAGCTGCTGGGGGAGGCAGTGATCGTATTTCCACTGACTTCCTAATCAGGTGAGATAGCAGGGACCGGATTTGTTTGCACAGATTAGCGGAACAGGGAGGAGGAGGCTGGAAATAAGCAGTTTCATGCCCTGCAATGCAGTACAGAACATCTTTCCAGTGTTTACTTGCGATAACTCAGGTGCACCCCTGCCAGGAACAGCCTCTGTTGGCAGACACTGACCAGAACAGCCACATTCTGCACAGTTAGGAACTGATCGGATCCTCCGGGAGCAGTGACTGCGAGAACAGCACAGACATCAGCTGCATTTGATCCGATCTGGTCCCCTTCCTCTTTCCATTACCAAGACAAAAAGCCTGGAGTGTAAGCAGCACTGACACCAAAAGCATGAAGAATCAGTGCTAGAGAACCGCTCCCAAACCTGCACATTTTAGCCACAGACACCACGTCAACACCATGGAAGGTCTGTCCCATAAATTTGCCTGTGTAGGACAACTGCAACAACTCTGTGAGACTGAACTGAATTCAGCAAATACAGAATAAACTAGTTATTTTAGAGCAAGTTGAAAGTACCTGTGATTATAACCAAGCACTGGAAGTGACAACTCAAAAGAGAGCCAACACTAAACAGCTTTTTCTAAGTGACAGAATTCAAATATTTAGACCGAATATTCGTATTTTCGTAACAGCACGAACAACTTTGTCTCCACCCTGACAGGATTTACTACATCCAAAAGACTGCAGTCTGACTCTTCAGGCTGCTGTGCAGGATGGAAACTGCTACCACAGTAACGAGCAGAGCAATGGCAGACTTTCATGTCTGGCTGGGGAAGGAGCAACAACTGACACCTAAGGGAAAGAAAATACGTCAGAAATTAAATTAACTTCGGTGAAACCAGATCGACCTTGGGCTGAAAGCCAGGACTGGAAAGGCTCTTCACTAAAACAACTTTGATGACTTATCAATAGAAGCTGCTGCATTAGACTATGATTCCATTAAACCCCAGTTTAATGTTTCCCCAACATTCAAAACCACACATAAGCACTATATATTGTACAAGATGACTGAATTTAAGCCAAAAACAAAATAGGAAGGATGACAGGTTTCTTAAGTCTATTCAGACTGATTATAATTGATGATTTATTACCTAAAAAATGCTAAAAACTTCTCAAGAGCACTACAATGCTATCTAAGGAAGAATGCTGTACCTATTCTACTCCAGATAGGGCCACAATAAACATTTTACTGTACTAGATTCAGAAAGACACAAAGTTGAAACACTCCAACCTGCATGTGGAAGTGTCTATTGTACTTCACATACTGACAGGATTTGTGTCATCTAATTCATTAACTTCGAGAAACTTCACATTTTTCCAGTGCTGTGGGAAAAAGAAAGGAGGAAGACATCACAGGGGAGAAGGAAACCCTCACCCACTACACTCAGAACAGCTGGTGGACCAAGAGTTCCCCAGGTTGCAGAAAGATTCCTGAAAACAGGAAACGAAGAGGAAGAAATTCAGCATTGGCCTCTCCCAGAGGCTCCCACCTGAGGGTGCTCAAGAGACCCAGTCAGGATCAGCTTCCTGGGGAAGGCAGACAGAGGAGAGCAGCAGCAAGGGAAAGCCGGCAATTCTCTACTTGCTACCGCCAAGATCTGAGGCAAAAGAGCTTTTCCAGAGGCTCCAAGCCTGGGCTGCTCCAGAGAGTGTGGCAGCTTCTGCCTACCAAGATACAAAATGAGTGAGTAAAAGGCCTGTTTTGCAGGCCTGGAGAATTCTCTGTGAGCAGAAGCAATTACACCCAGCCCCTGCATGGTGCTGGGCAGCAGGAGACATCCAGGCATTTCAGAGAGGAAGTCAGCAACATAATCCCACTGCTGCAGACAGGGAAACTGATTAAGAAATGCAGAGATGGAAATCAAAGAGCAGGTGGTCAAATCTTTGTTTGTTTTTAAAGGAAAACACAATTACATTTATGGGATATTAGACAGACACTGAAATCAGCTGCCTCCTAAGGATGCAGACACTGATACTGGGGATCTTTAGGAGCAGGACAAGCATAAAGTGGAAAGGGTGGAGACCTTCTTATCCCTCACCAGTAGCAACCATTGGGGTCAACTCTTGAGGCCTCTTCCTGCCTTATTTTCCACTTTCCGCCACTGAAAGTGACCAGGTACAACCCAAACATCTGCTGCACACTGTCACCCTCTAGTCTGCAAAGCACAACAACAAATATTTAATCAAACCTAACAGAGGGAAAAGCTCCATACCCTAGTTACCCTAAAACCAGAGGAAATCTGGGAGGCCAGCTTAAAAACAAATACCTAAAAGCTCCAAGCTATGTTTGGTACCCCACCTGGTACAACAGCCTGTTCCCCCTCCAAAAGGCTGATGCAGGAGAATCCTGAATAGGCCACACAGCTTTTTCTATTTGTAAGTTTTCCCAGGGAGAAGAAAATCTTTTTAAGACAAAACATAAGTGAATGGTGGGGAAGCACACAGGAACTGGTGTTTCTTTGTCACCTTCACCTTAGCCCTCTGTGCCATAACTACTGCCCCTAAAACACCACGACCAAACTGCACAAGAGAAGCAGCCCCTCTTCGCACCTGGACTTTAATTCAAAGCCTTCCCCTTGCTGTTCATATATTCTGGGTTGGAATAATGTTGGAATGCAGGTGGCACCTGACGCTTCACAGTAGTAGCTAATGAGATACCAGCACTCAGTGCATCCACAGCTCAAGGCTCAACAAAGAGTCACTTCAGCATCACGTCACAGCAGTCTGGCTGTCCCCTGCAGCTGGGACCAAAGGGGGAAGGCAAGTTACTCTGTACACTTTGTGCCCTCTGTGGTGACTCTGGGAAAACCAAACCTGTAACACGGCATCTTGCCCAGGAGAGACAAACAAGGAGCACTCTTTGGGTTCAGGAACAGAGTTCTGCATCCAAGGAGTGCTGTAAGAAATCCTTACAGTCATTTTCGCCTCTTTTGCCTGAGAAGTGAAACCTGCTGTTGGTGGAGAGGACTTGTGACCTGGGGTAAATGGAAAGGGCTAATCATCACCTGGTTCAAGGATAGTCTGAACACAACATTAAGTGTTGAAAAACAGCTATCCTCTCCTGCACCAAACTCACTGATCTGAAAAACACCAGAGCCCTGAATATGGTTTACCTTCTACATCCAGCCAGGCACATACAAAAGCAATGCCTGGCAACCTAGTGGTTGCTTCTTGGGGCTGTCCTGTGCAGGAGCTTCAATGATCCTTGTGGGTCCCTTCCAACTCAAGATATTCCATGAACTAGGACACACGAGCTTAACAAATTGTGCTGTGAAACAGCACTTGAGCCGGGGCAGGGTGTGAGCACTGTGCCTTTCATGAGCTCAGACACAGCACAGCAGGTGCTCTTTCCCTCACAGCAACCTTCCAGTATCTGCAGGGGGCCTCCAGGGAAGCTGGAGAGGGCCCTTCCTCAGGAATTGTAGTGACAGGACAAGGAGTAACAGGTACAGTTTGAAAGAGGGGAAATTTAGGTTAGATACTAGGAAGAAATCCTTTACTGAGGGTGGTGAGACACTGGAACAAGTTGCCCAGGGAGGCAGAGGCTGCCCGAAGCCTGGCAGTGTTCAAGGCCTTGAGCAACATGGTCTAGCAGGAGGTGTCCCTGCCCATGGCAGGGGGGATTTGGGACTAGTTTAGGGTTCCTTCCAACCCCTGAACATTCCCTGATTCCCTGGGAACCAACCATTACCCCTGCCGTGGTGAGGAACGACCCCCACGCACCGAACTCGAAACACAGACACCAAACCACACGCACGCCCAACCCCGCGCTCCCGAAACCTCCCCGGACAACGAGCTTCGGGTTCCTGCACCCCGGCTAAACACCAACCCCAAACCCCCTCGTACAGCCGGGCTCGGCACACGCCGGCTCGGAAGCACAGACGCCTCCTGTGTGAGCCCTGCTCGGGCAGCGAGACGCGGCCACTCCCGGGGAGTCCCCTCACGGGGAGGCCGCGAGCGCTCCCCGCCAGCCTCCCGCCGCAGCGGCCTGCGCGGGCCCCGCGGGCGGGGGACGGCTCCCGGGGGACTCGGGGCCCGGCGCGGGGGGCGAGAAGCCACGGCGGGCAGAGGAGAAGGCAGGGGAGGAGGAGGGAAGGGAGGGAGGTGACGGGACAGCCCCGGGGCGCGCAGCCCAGCCCGTCCCGCCCGCTCCTCACCTCAGCTCCGCGCCGCGCCGCGCGCCGCCCGCGCGCCCCCGGCACGCGCCCCCATTGGCCGCCCGCGCCTCCCGCCCCGCGCCCCCATTGGCCGAGCCGCGGCGCTTCCCCGGGCCGCGCGCTCCCATTGGCCCGGCCCGCCGCCCTGCGCCCCCTCGCGAGAACAGCGCCGCAGAGGCGGGGGCGGCGGCTCCGGGGGCCGCGGGTTCGAGGCTGCCCCCGCCACTCCGGCCGGCCCCACGCGCGGCGGGATCGCGGGGAGGAGTACGGGGAGTACAGATCCCTCCGGGCTCAGTGACAGGACCCGGGGAAACGGCCTGCAGCCCAGCCGGGCGACGTTTAGGTTGGATCTCGGGAGAAGGTTCTGCCCCCAGAGGGTGGTTGGCACCGAGCAGGCTCCCCAGGGCAGTGGGCACAGCACCAAGGCTGCCAGAGCTCCGGGAACGTTTGGACAAATTGCATCCCAGCCTGCCTCAACACCTAAATCTAGATTTTCCCAAGTGTATCTTCTTGAATGAAGGACGACACGCATCAAAACATGGCTTTCCTTGAAGTCTCCTGGGGGTTCTTACCTTTGCCTCACTAAATACAAGTTTTCTCAAGCTGTCATAAATCATCTCCTGCCACTTCACATTTTCACAGTCACAAGCATCACTTAGGGCATAGAAAAGCACCCAAGGTGGCTCTAAAATGGTATCACCAAAAAATCAATTTTTTCCCACTGTGGGTGCCTTCCTGGCTCCCTGGAGTCTGTGTTCTTTGTAAATCTGTAGTTTTAGCAATTTCTGGTGTATTTAGCACTATAGGCTGAGGCCTGGCACGTATAAAGTATATTTTCTCTGTGCCATGCTCTGGGGTCTGCTGTGTTCGGGCTTGGCCCACAGAGTGCCCATTTAAATCGTGGAACTTCATCCCAAAAATTAGCAGGGGGAGGGCGCTCTGGCACTGGAGCGTTTGGGGCAGGCAGTTTGAGGGGTGCACTTGGCCCCGACAGGGTGGGGAGCGGGCACAGGCAGGGACAGGGGAGCAGGGACAGACAGGGACAGGGGGAGCAGGGACAGGCAGGAACAGGGGGAGCAGGGACAGCAGGAACAGGGGGAGCGGGGACAGCAGGGACAGGGGAGCAGGGACAGGCAGGAACAGGGGAGCAGGGACAGGCAGGAACAGGGGAGCAGGGACAGGCAGGAACAGGGGGAGCAGGGACAGCAGGAACAGGGGGAGCAGGGACAGCAGGAACAGAGGGAGCAGGGACAGGCAGGAACAGAGGCAGCAGGGACAGACAGGGACGCGGGGCTGGGCAGGCGGCGGGGCTGCGGGCAGGCAGGTGGCAGCAGATCCCTGTGGAAGGGCTCGGCGAGGGAGGAGCCGCTCCTGCCGAGGAGCCCCGGCCCCCTGAACGGAGGGCACGGGATGCTCTCCCCTCTGCGGGTGCCCGTCCCCTCTGCAGCGGGTGCACAGGGGCGGTTTAGATTGGATACTCGTAAAAATATCTTCACTGGAAGTGTTGCCGAGCACTGGAACAGGCTGCCCAGGGAGGTGGTGGAGTCACCACCCCTGGGGGGATTTAAAAGACGTGTACTTTGTGGCACTTAGTGCCATCGTCTAGTAACTGTGGTGGTAGTGGATCAAGGGTTGGACTTGATGATCTCAGAGGTCCTTTCCAACCCATCTGATTCTATGATTCTATGCAGGTCTATCACTTGGGGACATGGTTTAGTGGTGGGCTTGGCAGTGCTGGGGTAGTGGTTGTACTTGATGACCTTAGAGGGTTTCTTGAACCTTAACAATTCTATGACTACGATTCCCCTTCTGCACTGAGTGCATTTCCCTGGGGACAGGGTGTATTTCCCCTGTGCACACGTGCCTGTCACCTCTGCACAGGGTGTGTTTACTCCCTGCACAGGGTGTGTTTACTCTCTGCACTGGGTGCATGTCCCCTCTGCACACAGCACTTGTCCCCTCTGCACAGGACGATGTCCCCTCTGCACAGGGGGTGTGTCAGTGTGCACAGGGTGCTCGTCCCCTCTGCACCCAGTGCATCCCTCCTCTGCACAGGGCACGGGTCCTCGTCATGTCAGCACCACGCAGGGTCATGAACATCCGTCATGCCTCTGGGGCTCATGCAGGGCCAGAAAAAGTGGAACTGGATGCAGCCCCATGGGCAGCTGCAGGGCTGCCTGACTGTGGGTGCAGCCAGGAGCCCCTGCCCTGGCTCCCCTTGGATGCCCAAGGGGGTGCATGGTCACCTCAGACCTCCCCTGCACACTGAGTGGGGCTTTTCTTTGAGGGGCTGGATGAAGCACATCAGCCTCTTCTTGCATCAAGCAAAGGCTCCCATCACTCTGCTGCTATACACAGCTGTCTGCAGGCTGAGAGCAGTTCCTACTTCATCAAAAAGTACTTTTTTTATACAGGAAAATACTCCTGAGGGGACCAGAAAGCTCACTGAGAGCAGCTACAGGCAAAGCCAGGGGCTGGATACATCCCAGGCCAGTGCCTCACATGGGTGCCTGCACCCCTCCCCTTGATCCTATAGCTTTCCTCACCCCAAGTCCCTCCTGGGGAGGCTGGAAAGGGCACTGAGGCTGGGGGTTCCCTCCTCTGCCCGATGGATGTGCAGGCAGAAGCAGGAGCTGGCAGGGCAGGCTGGCACCAGTAGGGTGCAGAGCAGTGTGCCCACATCCCACCCTGGCACGCCACTGGGAACAGGGAGCAGTTGATGCCTGAGGCACTTCCTGTGAGGGGAAACCCCATCCCTGCCCCAGCTTTGTTTCTGGTGCAGGATTTGGGTGCCCAGCCCCAGGGGGCTCAGCTTGCAGCCCCTCTGCTGCAGTGGTCGGGGTCTCAGCCCTGCTGCTCAGGGCTCCAGCAGTGGGGCCAAACCGGGCTTGTTTTCCAGCAAAGCGTCTTCTCACGGGATTTATGGTTTTTTAGTGCATTTAGGGCTGGGCAGACCCTTATAACCCTCTGCAGCACTAAGCCTCTGTTGCAACAGGCAGTGCTGGAAGGCTGCTTAGGCAAAGATGCACTAATGTAATAAGGCAACGCATTTAAAAGGCAAATAGGTGCTGAGCTGGGTGTTGCTTTTCTCACTGGCAAGGCTGGGTGCTGAACAGGCTGGGCATCCACTGCAGAGCCATGTGCTAAAGCTGGCAAACCTTCAGGGAAGGGGTGAGCAGCTCTCCTGGGTGCCTGGAGCCTGGGGACTGACATACCTCCCCCCTTGCAGACAACCCACCCTGTGCCACCCAGCCCAGCAGAAGGGACTACATGGCTGCCAAAGGGACCGATTTTGCTGCTTTTTAAACTGGCCCTGTCCCTGGTGTCTTGTCACCAAGGGCTGGAGGAGACATCCCTGCCAGGCTGAGCTGTCCCACTGCCCCAAGAAGCGGAGAAAGGGTGATGGCAGCAGGGCTGGGAACCTGCAGCCGTGGTGGGGCACACCCAGGGGACATGCATGGGCAAGCAGGTGCTTGAAAAATGACTCTCACTTGGCAGAGACTTTCGGAAGCAAAACACATCCCATGCATCTTCCCAGTGCCCTCCCTCCCCCACTCCCAGCAGCCACCCCTCATCCAGGCAGCCGAGTGTTGCATTCACGGCTGTGGTTATCTGTCCTCCTGTCTCTGAAGGTCATCACAGCTCCAAGCAAGGTGTTCCCCAGAAATGAGCTGCAAAAAGTGTTCCTGCCCAGGGCAGGAGGAGCCAAGCACTGTAGCTGAAGGTATTCAGCATGGGGAGGCCGCAGGGAAAGAGCCCGTTTGGGAATGGATCTGCCCTGCAGTAGGTTGGGGTTTGTGAAGCACAAGTTCCTGGGGAAGGGAAGTTTGTCCCCTCTAGGACCTGTCCAAGTGCTCTCCAGTAGCAGCTCAGGGCAGGCACATTTCCAGCCCATGCCACCCTCCCACACTTGGTCCCACAAGCTCTTTCACCCAGAGGAAGCCCCAGGGTGGAGCAGAGGCACCTGCCATGAAGACAAAGAAAGGCTGGAGAGGGCTGGAGCCCTCCCTGCTTGCCCACCCCCCGGGCATGTCACCTGTCCTCACAGGGACACCAGCACCTCAAAGATGCCCAGAGCCACCCTGCATGCAGGACGAGGGCCTGTGATGACAATCCCCACACAGGCGTCACGAGTGGCGACCGTCCTCAGCCTGCAGCCCAGCCCGACAGCAGCACTCGTGCCTCGAGACAAACTCCTTTATTCCCATCCAGTTTCACCACTGGTACAGAAAATACAAAACATGACAAAAAGAGAAGTTTTTTTCCGTGCCCCCCTCCCCGCCCCCGAAGCGTGCCGGCTATTTACAGGCGGAGCCGAGCGGCTCAGTGGCAGCAGCTGCACTTGCTGCTGGCCGGCTCCTTGCACACGCAGCCCTTGGCGCAGTTGCTGCAGCTGGCGGGGCAGCAGGAACAGCAGCCTGGGGGGGACACACAAGAGTTAGGAGGCGGCTGGAAGGGAGGGGGGTCCCAGGGGCAGAGGTACCCGGTGGACATTGGGAAACAGCACCTCTGCGTGAGCAGGGCTGCGATCCCAGTGCGCTGGAGGTCTCCACGGGGGTCCTACAGGGCAGGGCAGCCCTCCCCCAAGGAGGAGCTGAGGGGGTCTCCATGGGCCAGAGGAAGAGAGAGGGATCCCATGAGGGTTCTACAGGGCAGGGGCCTCCCCATGGGGAAGTGGAAGGGTCTTCATAAGGGTTCCTACAGGTCAAGAGGGGTTTGTCTACGGGACAGGGGTTGAGAGGTCCCCATGGCAGTTTTGACAGGGCAGGGAAGTGTCCATGGGCTCCCCCGGGACAAGGAGGGATTCCCCTATGGAGCAGGGAGATCCTCAGGGCAAGGAGGGAAGGAGAGGTTCTCCTATGGAGCAGGGAAGTGCCCATCGGGGTCCCACAGCGCAGTGGCAGCCCCCTCCCTCCGCAGGGCAAGGCCGGATCTCCCCATCCTGAGCCCCCCACTCACTCTTGCGGCAGCTCCGGCAGCGGCAGTTCTTGCACTTGCAGGACCTGGCGCAGGAGCAGGAGTCACCTGGGGAGGGAGGGACAGCGGAGTGAGCCGGGAGAGAGCCGGGAGAGAGAACCGGGAGAGAGAGAGAGCCGGGACAGGACGGGGCACTTACCAGCGGCACATGTGCAGTCCTGGGGGTCCATGGTTCGTCTTGGCTTGGCTCGGCTCGGCTTAGCTCAGTGTGCGTCGGCTCGGATGGTGTCGGTGCGATGGGGTGGCAGCGGCGCCGGCCGCCCGCTATTTATGTGGCCGGGCGCGGGGCGGTGCTGGCGCTGCGCACGGTGCAGCGGGGCCGTGCTCACCCGGGCCGTGCCGTGCTCACCCGGGGCCGTGCCGTGCTCAACCCGGGGCCGTGCCGTGGGGCCGGGCCGTGCTTACTCGGGGCCGTGCTCACCTGGGGCGGTGCCGGCCCGAGCCCCGAGGCGTGCGGTGCTCACCCCGGGGCCGTGCTGTGCCGTGCCGTGCCGTGCTCACCCTGGGCAGTGCTCGCCCCGGGGAGTGCCGTGTGGCCGTGCTGTGCCGTGCCGTGCCGTGCCGTGTCACCCGTGTCACGGACCTGCCAGCCCCCCCGCGCTCCCAGCCCGCTGCGGGGGGAAGCGGGAGGGTCCCGCCCGCACCCCCTCCCCGGCCGGGTGCCGCATCTCGGGGGACCAAGAGGAAGGCGTGTGCGCGGTGTGGGGGTGACAGCACTGGCGTGGCACTGCCACCGGCTCCTGCACGCTCGGGACAGCCCCACAACGCTGCCCCCCGTGTGCCCAGCGCTGCGGTGTGGGATGGCCATGGGTGTGTGGGGCCACGGGTGTCCCTGGGGATGGGACTGACTGTCCCAGTGTCCCACTGGAGAGCAGGATGGCCCTGGGTAGCTCCACGGGGCTGGAGTGCTCGAATGGTCTCCCAGGAGGGGTGAATCATACAATGTCCTGAGCTGGAAAAGACCCACAGAGATCATTGAGTCCAACTCCTGGCCCTGCACTGGACACCAAGAATCACACCATGTCCAAACAGTTCCTGAGTCACAGCTCCTGGCAAACTTGGTGCTGTGACCACTTCCTTGGGGAGCCTGTTCCAGTGCCTGCCTGACTTCTGGGTGAAGAACCTTTTCCTAATACCCAGCCTAAACCTCCCCTGACACAGCTTCATGCTTGGGTGAGCGTGGGGATGCAGTGTGGGAACATGGCATTGCTGGCCAAGGGCTGCTGGGAATCACAGTTTCCCGTCCCTGTGGGTTTTCCACAGGTGTTTGTCATGGTGTTTATGTGCCAACCGGCTTCCACCATCCCGCACGTGCCCGTGGCCAGTTCAACATCCAGCATGGAAAGCAGTGGCTGGGCCAGGGCCAGGCCGTCCCTGTGCCCGCTGCTCTTGCTGGTGTCGCACATGCCACGAACCTGGGCTGGGAGCCAGTGCTGCCCCCGTGGAGCCGGCACCAGTGGGCCCTGCGAGCAGCAGAGAGCCCGTGGCCCTGGGAGGCTGTGCCAGGGAGCGGCTCGTGCTTGTTTGCAGAAGCACGGGGTTGTTTCTGTCCTGGCAGCGTGTGCAGGCAGCAGCGAGGCGAAGCCAGCAGGCACTGCACACGCCACTGGCTGAGCGGGAAGGAGGAGAGCTGGAATCACCGAGCACGTGTGGTCTCACTGCACATAAACAGGGGTTGTGAAATCACTTCCCTCCCGGACAACCCCCCACCGTGGGGCTGCGGGAAGGAGCTGCCTCCCTTCCCCGAGCCCTCCCTCCAGCGGGGTGGGCTCTGCTGCACCCGGGACTGAGAAATGAGAGCCCCTATCCACCCAAAATGAGGTCATGCACCCCTACACGGGGCCTTGCCAAAAGTGGGGCATGAGTGTGCAGGGGCAAAGCTGGGGGGAAAGCAGGGGAATTCCCAGATTTGTAGGAATTCTGCAAGTTACACATGGATGGGCTGTGCTGAATCCCGGGACACGTTGTCCCAGGCCCACATCACTGTGAGCAGGAAGGGACAGCACAGCATCCCCCAGAACTGTGTGTGAAGCCAGGATGGGAAAAGAGCCTGGAAAATGCCTGATTTCCCAATCGGGGCATTTCCACTCAGTAATGAGGTCACCCCACAAGCAGGACAGAGGATGAGTGTGCATTCCCCAAGCCATGGGCTTGCTGAAATGCCGGGGTGCAGGGCACATGCTGGACAGCACTGGGGAGAGGAGAGCTTGGGGAGGGTCTCCCATTTACTGATAGTATTCCAGGTCCCTGGAGCAGGAAGGAGTTAAACCCAAGGCTGTTCCCATGTAAGACGAGTGCCAGGTCCAACTCTGATTTTACAGCAGCCATAAAGTGAGCAGTGGAGCTGCAGCTGCCCAGGGGCTCAGGGCTCACAGCTGGGCTGCTGGAACCCCCATCTGCCCCTCGCTTCCCCTGCAAGAAGGATGGCATCCAACAGCTGCTTCCCCTTACACTGCTGTGGGGCACAGGGCTGGGCACAGCGCAGAGCCAAAGGCAGGGCCAGTGCACACCCACAGAGACCAGCAAAGATGGACTGATGCTGTGAGCCCTGCTGGGTAAACCATGTTTGGTGATAAATCCCATTAGCAACCTCTCCTTCACCCCCGTGTTGGGCTCACCAATGGTATCTTTGTATGGTTGGCACTTAAATCTCTCTGGGTTAGAAGGAATAAAGATAACCCTGCTCTTTGCAGAACAGAGTGTAGTGGGACTCTCCAGGCCTGCCCTGCCCTACATTCAGCTGGCACAGGGATGTGGGGTGATGGTGACATCTCAGGGGACACCCTGGGGAAGGAGCCCTCCTGGAGCAAAGGGGTATCCCCTCGGGGTTGGCACTGTGAGCAGCCAGCAGGCAGGGGTGCTGTGCTGTTGGCTGTGCCAAAAGCCTGGCTGAGGCCTGGCAGTGGTGACTGGATAGGTCAGGAAAGGTTTTGCAGCTGAAAGGAGGTTGTGAAAGGCTGTGTTTGGGGCATGCAGGGACAGGCAGGACCCTTTGTGTGTCCTGGGAGGCAGCACAGTGGTACTTTGTGCCTGGGGTGCAGAGCTTGGGCAGCAGGAGGGCTGTGCTTGGGCATCCCACACTGGCATGGGCATCACATCCCATCACAGGCATTACATCCCATCATGGATGTTGCATCCTGGTGTGGGGGATTGCCTGCCAGAGTGGCCATCACCCCCGGTGTGGGCACCACCTCCCATCGGGGGCACTGCACCCTACTGCAGCCACTGCACCCCGTGGTGGGCACGGCACCCCTTGGTGGGCACTGCATCCCATGGTGGGGAACCAGCTCACCTGATGCCCGCCAGAAGCAGCCAGCCAGGCTGGCAGAGGTGTGTGGTGGGGATAAGCAGCGTGGTTCTTCCAGCCAGTTCAACTAAACTGCCGGGAGGAAAACTAAACCTGTTTCCCCGGCGCCCCACCTGCCGTGGAAATGTTCCCCCTGGAAATGGGCAGGGCTGGGGTGGTTATTAAAGTGAAAGCTTTTAATAATGAGCTGCTCGTTAGCCCCGAGGATTTCTGGTGGAGGAGAGAGCATGGGATTTGCCCTTGGGTAACGACAGGGCGGGGGAAAAAACAACACCCTTGTGTAGGGCAAGTGTTAAAACAAGAGCCAGAGCTGCTGGTAGGGAGAGCAGAGCCAAGACTGGAAGAAAGGAGCAAAAATAAGCGCTTTGCCATGACCCCCCACACGCACTGCCCTCCCACTCCCCAGGGAAACCACCCCGTCCCACAGAAGTGCCGAGTTCCTTATGGACCTTTATATACATATCACTTTATTTAGCTGACAAACACTAAATAAATCTGAACACACATATAAAAAAAGACAACCAACACACACAATAAGGTTATTCTTCTTCAGCCCCCCCCAGATGTGCATCACTCCCAGACGTGCAGCCAGGGGTGCCCTATTTGCAACAGCTGCACTTGGCAGAGGGGGGTCCCTTGCAGACGCAGCCCTGTGCACACTTGGCACATCCTGCTGGGCAGCAGGAGCAGCAGCCTGCGGGAGAGAGAAAAATATATTAGGGACATATTTTCCTGGGGGCTCTCAGGGTGGGGTTTGGGGGGTCCCACTGCCTTGGAGACATCCCATGTATCCACATCCTTCCCTTATAGCAGCATCTCCATCCCTGGCAGCATCCCCCAGGGTGTTTGTGCAGCCAGGGCCAGCACTGGAGAGGCAGCAGAAGGGTGAGGAACCCCAAAGGGCTCACTGGGGTCCCCTCAGTCCCTCTCTTTGCAAACCCTCCTGCACAAGCCTCTGCTGGGGGTGACAGCATCAGAAGCACCCAGAAGAAATCCCAGTGCTGGGTTCCTTCCCAGGCATCCCCTTGTGCTGAGCCTGAGGTGCCAGTGAGGGTTTAGGTGACACTGGGTGGCTTGTATTGCCTGGCAAGGGGGTGGGATTCTCACTGTACTTGGGATGTGTAGTGAAACATCCCCTGAGTGTTTCTGCCCCCCCGGGGGCTCAGGGATCCCTCTTACCTTTTTTGCATGATGTGCATTTGCAGTTTTTGCATTTGCAGTTGTCCCCGCAGGTGCAGGTGCCACCTAAAACATAAAGAAAAGGAGAGAAAGGGGTTGAGAGGAGGTGGTGGGAGGGGATGCCCATATCCCAGGGATCCGCGGGGGAGAGCATTGCCGCCCCTCCGAGCATCCGCTGATGCTTCAGCCTCGATCAGCAGGAAGGTCACGGCGTTCCCAGCGAGAAGCTCCCAGTGTGACACCGCAAAGCTGGGAGATGATTTCAGCAGCCGGCCCAGCCGACAAGACAGAGAGCTTCGGGAATGTGGCAGGAGGCCGGGGCGGGAGTGCCGGTGTTCCCGCTGGGAGGATGCTCGGCTCCCGCTGCCCCCGGGCCGGAGGAGGCTCTGCCTTACCCGTGGCACAAGGGCAATCCTGGGAGTCCATGTCTGGCTGGGCTGGGTGCCGGCTGTCGGGCGCGCTGGGCAACGGGAGGAAGCTTTGGCAGGGCTCGCAGCCGCCTCCTATTTATCCTTGGCCAGACGAGAGCGAGTGCAAAACCTCCGCCCCTGCATCCTGCGCACGGCTCGGCGCGGCTGCTGCCCCGGGCGCTGCTGATTCACTGCCCGGGCGGCCCAGCGTGACCCGGGGCTGCCACAGCCCCCTGCGCCCCCCTCCCTCGGCCGCTGTGGCAGCAGGGAGGGCTGGCGGGGTGACCACCCCTCTCTGCTGAGGCCCTGGGGGGTGCAGAGAACGGCCAGCTCATCACACGGATGACATCTGCCTGGCTTGGGAGTGCTGCTCTGCTCCCGGGGGCTGGGGGCTGAGGGGGT